CAACATAGAGTGGGTGATTTCAGATAAGATCGACCAAAGGATGGCTAGTCGACATTTTCAAATCAACTGATGTTTTTATATGTTATTGTCTAGTGTCTGGTATGAACGAATCCAAACTTAGTTTTGACTAGAAAAAATACTTGGGGACAGGAAAAATCGTAAGGCATGAGGTGGTGGACAGTTGCATTAACGCGCACTGATGGAGGGGGCCCGTTTGAGAGTGAATAACTAAAGCGATAACATTAGGAGAACTCTAATACGTTTTAGGCGCAAACTATGAGTATAGCTTGCTTGTAATATAAAGTAATCATATTTATTTAAAATTTATTTATTTTTCTAAAAATTGACAAACATGCCTGCTCGAACGACAAATGGCAAACTTTGGAGGTCTGTATCTCATGAAATAATTTAATCATTATGATATAATTTGCAGATATTATTCTACTAATATGTAGCTAATATTTAAAAAATAACTAAGGTATCTGTGTGATACAATAGTTAGGATATATTTAGTCAAACATGGAAAAAAAAATCAAACAAAGAAAAATTCCGATGCGAATAAAAAAAAACACCACCCTCGATTTTTTTTAAATTTAGGTAACCTGTTATACTCTATTTCGGCATTCATTTCTATTAAAAACATGTTGCATCATTTTATTGAGAAAAGATACAACTCCCCAAAGTAGGGTCCTTTTTCAAAGCCTACACTTAGCAGTGTTTTATACAAGAACTGACTCTGAGTTCCAGTTTCATGAAACCAACACACATCTTTTATATATTTTTATTCAGATGAGGCCAATGATAACTAAAGAAATCGTTCACACACTTAAATTAAGGAGAAGCTACTGTGTACAAAGAGGTATTATATTACGGACTAGTGATCCGAGAAAAGATCATGCAGCCATCGGCCACTAGGAACTTTGTTTACTTTATTCTCCTGCGACACTATATGCTATTCCCTCTTCCGCTCTACCTTCATCTCTCTCTCTCTCTCATATATATATCCCTGATATATATCCAGAACAAAAACATGTTCAAGCATTCCCTTTCTGCGTGGTAGTGTTCTGTGGCTAGCAAAAATCATTTCCTCGCTAAGCTCACGATTATGGCAAAATAGTTGCCGGAAACCGCAGACGACACTCGTCGCTAGTTCTGGCAAAACGGCCCATACAATCTTTTTTTCGCATTTCCCCGCTCGCTGTCAAGGACAAGGGGGTTCGCTTCAACCAGCAAAGCATGGCCGCCGACGCCTGTTTACTGAGCAGTCATGCCTGTCGCCATCTCACTCGCTGGCGTCACGGGCGATAATATCAGGCACAAAGGGGCACACCAACCGGCAGCATTATTCCCAAATACTCGAGCCTCGCGTAAATACATAGAGTGTAAACGCTGTCGCCATGTTATCGTAGTAAGACCGCCCCCCCCCCCCCCCCCCTCCCCCAACGGGGGACTGCAGTACGCGACGGCGTACTCACACAACGGCGACGATATCGACATCGCGGGCTCCGAATTTTCCCATAGTTCTACTCCACGGGCATTTCTCGAAACGCTTGATATTGTGTACGCCCGCCTGGAAGGATTTCAGGCGCGTAGTTAAGATAAGGCGGTTCTCCGCGGCAAAAGAAAGCAATTTCACAAAAGCTTAAAAGCGGCGGCGACGCGTGTGCGGTGAACGCTTGTAGTTTTGGTGTAGACAGGGTGTGTGTGTTCTCGTTGTTGACACCAGCCGGCGATAAGGCACTGCAGGCGGTAGCTCAGTACAGCAAGGGCTAATCCGAGTGACCATCAACGTAACCCCACCGCCAACCCCTCGCGAACCGGTCGCCGACATGGCTCAGGCTGTGTCATGAACCACGTGGTAGAAGCTCGGGTGCTTTTTATTATTATTTTTTTTTATTTGAACATACTGCCAGCCGCCTGTTGGCAGCCAGGGCAGGGGTGGGCATAGACAGACACAAACAAAAATAGCACGATAACCTAGCACACAGCAAGCATACCCAACAAGTCATCGGCGATAAAAAAAAAAAAAGTGTTTAATCATGGTAAAAAAATAAATAAACAAAGTGGCATCGATTCACTTGACACAATCAACTCTCGAGCAAACGGTACCAATTGTGTACACAAAAAAAAAAATAAATAAAAATAACATGCAACAATAATAACCTAATATACCGTCTGCATGCAGTCACCGCGAAAAAAGTTGTTCTATCATTGCTGCAAATGATGACGCTGTGGCTGCATTTGTAACACTTTCAGGCAAACTATTCCAGTCATTGATTGTTCGCGTGAAAAAGCTATTTTTTAGACAGTCAGTTCTACAGAAAGGGACCACAATAGTTTTCGAGTGCTTATTGCGCGTGTGCCTGCTTGAGTTGTAGTCCATGTACTTTTCGAATGACATGCGCGAAGAGTTGTGCACGATAGTATAAAGAAGCTTGAGACGGTTTATCTTGCGATGGGTTTCAAGACGAGGCATTTTTGATATGTCGTATAATTTTGTAATTGAACTTTTTCTTCTGTATTCGTTGTACGCAAATCGAAGTGCTTTCTTCTGAACTCCCTCAATTCGGTCTACGTTGATTTTGGAAGTGGGATCCCATACCACGTCAGCATACTCCAGAACAGGGCGTACGGTGGTGCTGTACGCTGCTAGTTTTGTTTTTGGTGTACAGTGTCTTAGTTTTCTTTTTAAGATCCAGAGTTTCACCATCGCTTTCTGCACAATTCATGCTACATGACTGTTCCATTTGAGTTTTGACGTGAGTATAACACCGAGATACTTGTATTCGTTGACAGTTTCTAAGGGATGGTTGTTGATGGTGTAGCTAAAAGCAAGGGGCGTTTTCTTGCGTGCAACGCACATGTACACACACTTAGAACTGTTAAGCGACATCTGCCAATTCGTGCACCATTGCGTTATACTGTTTAGACAGTTACTGAGCTTTACCTGATTACTTCTCGAATCCACCTCTGAAAACAATACGCAGTCGTCCGCATAAAACCGGCATTGTACGCTGTCATCAACAATAAGATCATTTATGTAAACTAGAAAAAGCAAAGGCCCGAGCACGGACCCCTGGGGCACACCAGAAATAACCGGGATAGTCGGGGAAATTGCTCCTCCGACCTCAACAAATTGATGACGATTGCTTAAGTAAGAATCCAACCACCGCACGAGTCTTTCATTGCCTATGAGAGTCTTAAGTTTTATCAACAGCTTCTGGTGTGGTACTCGATCGAAGGCTTTGGCAAAATCCAAGAAAATAACATCCACCTGGCCCCCTTTATCAAGAACCTTTGCAAATTCATTTACAGTATGAAGAAGCTGCGTAACCGTCGAGAAGCCGCGCCTAAAATCATGCTGTTGATCCGATATGAAGTTATTTGCCTCAAAGTGAGTCACGAGATGCTTGAATAAAAAATGTTCGAGAACCTTGCTGCAAGAACAAAGCAAAGAAATCGGTCTATAGTTACACACTTAAAGCCTGTCACCGGCTTTATGAATTGGTATTACCTTTGCAGTTTTCCACTGATCCGGTACAATAGCCTGTTCAAGCACATTGTTGAATATAATAAAAAGAAATTCAGAGCACCATTCGGCGTATCTTTTCAGAAAAGCGTTAGGGACATTGTCTGGACCACTTGATTTTTTTGTGTTTAAATTTAGAAGTGCTTCGAAAATGCCTTCCTGCGTCACCTGGACGTCCGGTACTCCTATTGCTCTTTCCCTGTATTCAGGTGATCCGCCGTCGTTAATCGTGAATACCGAAGAAAAATAGTTATTAAATGTTTTAGCGATAGCTGATTTGTCAACAACTTCTCTTCCACATTCCTCAATCTTGGTTACGTGCTGTCTCGTGCCCTGTAAATGCCTCCAAAATTTAACTGGATCATTAAGCAGGAAGTTGGTCATTTTAACGTTGTAGTATTCATACCTGGATTTTTTTATTAGTGATTTAAGTTTTATACGCAGCACAGCTACCTTTGCTTTGCCTTTACATGTTTTGTTAAGTCTTTTTGCCTGGCGCTTTACTTGTAGAATCTCCCTCGTTACCCAAGGACTGCGCTGTCTAGTATTTGTTTTCCTGGTTGGCACAAAGCGTTCTATACACGTGTTTACACTTTCTTGGAAGAAATGCCATAATTGGTTTATATCACAGCTAGTGCAGGTAGATAAATCGGAAAACCTGTCGAAGGACAACTCAAGAAAATCTAAGATACTTTCGTCTTCTGCTTTTTTGAAGTCCTTAACTTTCCTTACCGTATTAGGTAGACGGTTGGGGACTAAACCTGTACAGTCTAACACTATCATGCGGTGATCTGATATCCCATCTACAACTGCACAATGGTTATCTGCAACACACAGAGTATTAGAAACAAATACTAAATCAAGGAGAGAACTGGTGGTTTCAGTAACCCTCGTGGGACTCGTTACCATCTGAACAGGTTGTTTGAGAATGCTAAATCGATCAAGAGTTCGGAGTGGCGACACGCTGACATTGAGGTCATTGTTTCCCAGTCTAAATTTGGAAGATTAAAGTCACCTCCCAAAATTATATTTCTGTTGTGTTTTGACTCTTTATGCACAAAATCATGTAAGTCGTTCAATACCTCAATGTCAGCACAAGGTGGCCTGTATACCACACCCACCAAAATACAGGAAGATAAAAGCGACACTGTCACCCACACCGCTTCAATGGGTGTGGTATTACGCAGCACAGAAAATTCCATTCCTTCTTTCAGAACTATAGCCACCCCTCCCCCTTTCGAAGAGCGATCTTTCCGTATAATTTTGTGCGTTGGGGGAACGATATCGCAATCAGAAATACTATCACTTAGCCAGGTTTCGGTTATCAACAATATGTCGGGGTCGAAACTAAGAATAATGCTTTCCAAGTCGGTCGTTTTATTGACAATACTCCTTGCATTCAGGTTTATTAGTCGAAGTTTCGTGCTAGTTGTACAAACTGCCCCTTGCACTGCAACCGTCAGTCAGGATTCTGACGCGTGGCAGGATAGACAGGAATTCTCGTATTTGCAGTATCATCCCAGATGAACACTTGTCCATTTATTTTAATTTTATCGAAAGAGAGAACGACTTTGTCTCCATTCTTTTTTAATTCCTTAGCGCTGTCCCAGAGTTTTTTTCCTAATCTGCTGGACACGTGGTGAGAAGTCCTCAGAAATACTGAACCTTGAGCCCTTTAAACGCCTGCAGCTGCTCAGAACTGCACTCTTCTCCCTCTCATCGAGAAACCTTAGGATAACTGGTCGCGTTTTGTTAGCGACCTTACGACCAAGCCTGTGTATCTTTTCAATTCCAGAGGCGTGTACACCGAGAATATCCTCAAAAATTTCTTTCTTAACACAGTTTTCCAACCCTTCATTGCTTTCATCTGCTGTCTCTTTAATACCATAAACAAGTAGATTATTGCGTCTGCTTCTGTTCTCCAGGTCGTCTACTTTGCCGAGAAGGAAATTAACGTTCTTTTCAAGAGACACAATCCTTGTCTCGAAGGCTGCCACAGAAACCGCCATATTGGACAGTCCATCTACTCTGTGTCCGATTGTTGCAAGTCTAGCGTTAGTTTCCGCAATCAGTGCATCTGTAGCAGTTTTTCCCTCCTTTATCTCCTTCACGTCACTTGCAATGGCCGTAAGATGCTGCATTAGATCCTCAAGGGTGGGCCCCGGATTGGTTTCTACGTCGCCGCTTAGCATCAACAAGAGACTAAACAGGTCATGGCACACACATAACACTCTCCAAAGTGACCGTGGGCACGGCAACTCTAAAAGACACACATTGTCGCTTCGGTAAGAACATGAAGGGTACTCGTTCCTCACCTGCACGAAAAGTGTAAGCGGGTTTTTCAGCGACATAGCTCTGACGGAGTCGCCGCGCCCACTGTCGTTGAACCACCTTGATTGCGGCTTTATAGCTGGTTGAGCCCAGGAAGTGACCGTTGATGTTTCCGGTCGCGCATGCCCGAAGTGTAGAATCGGAGCGTGCTCGATAGTTGCCCGGTAATCGCTGGATGATGCAGGAATATCCCAGAGAGTGATGACTGGAAGCTTCGCCGCTGAGTCAGATGTTGCTGTTCCTCGTGCACTCGCTGGTGCATGAATGGCCGAATAAACCGCCAGGGTCTGCACGAAAAGTGTAAGCGGGTTTTTCAGCGACATAGCTCTGACGGAGTCGCCGCGCCCACTGTCGTTGAACCACCTTGATTGCGGCTTTATAGCTGGTTGAGCCCAGGAAGTGACCGTTGATGTTTCCGGTCGCGCATGCCCGAAGTGTAGAATCGGAGCGTGCTCGATAGTTGCCCGGTAATCGCTGGATGATGCAGGAATATCCCAGAGAGTGATGACTGGAAGCTTCGCCGCTGAGTCAGATGTTGCTGTTCCTCGTGCACTCGCTGGTGCATGAATGGCCGAATAAACCGCCAGGGTCTGCACGAAAATTGTAAGCGGGTTTTTCAGCGACATAGCTCTGACGGAGTCGCCGCGCCCACTCTTCATATCAGCGCGTGGAGGGACGACAGTGCGATTCCGGAAAGTCTTTTTCGAAGGCCGCTGGCCACAATTTTTTGTCTGGAGACTTTCCCTCTTTCTTCCTTTGACGTGGATCAAGCTTTGCCGACAGCCTCAGTTGTGACCTCTCTTTTCAAATGTACGTTTGCAGTGAGTGAGCTCCTCAGCCTCGGACTTGTCACTTGTGCACCCAGTAGTTCTTTCACTTGGCAATTATATGCCATCAGTTGGGGTTTAATTTCTATTATTTATGTATACATTATGAAGACATCCTGGAGCTCCGAACGAGTGTTTTGTGCAGATTACTTTTGTAAACACAAAAAGACTATACCAAAGCAGCGGAATTTTCGAAGTGTTGGCGAGTTGGACCTAAACTCGTTGAAGCAAATTCTTCCGCCTGACTGTTCCACCAAAGTGAGTGCGACGGACTACCTGTGCTACCATTGCTTCATGCACATCACTAAGGAGATCTCGATGCGAAGCTCAGAGCAGTGCCCTGACATATTTGTGCCAGCTGAAGAAGCAATTGAAGATCTAAATCGAAGCATACTACCTACAGATGTGTCGCCGCTGAGACAACCAAGCGTCGTAAGAAGTCGGGACAGGCCTGTCTATGTCAAGAGAAAGCAGACAGAACTGGAGCAGGTTGCTGTCAAGAATATACGCTCAAGGCTACGTATTGCGTACGACAGGGACGCACCATCGGGGTCGTCCGAACCAACATGCTCCACATGCACTGAGTGGGTGGACAACTTTCGGCAGGCCTTTGAAACCGCCACCTCTCTCCGGGAACGTTGTCAACTGCTTACACTCCTGCCGTCAACACTGACGAAGAATGAGGCTCAAAAGATGATTCCACAGGCCTCAATGTACCTCATCAGTAAATCCCGAAAACTCAAGGAAAAGCATGGCGTGTGGTATGAGCCGGATCCTTACACGAGGTGCAAGGTGAGCCCTGAGAACCTGTCTGCTGCCCTAGAGTACTTCACGAAAGACGAGCTACAATGTTCGCGCCAAAGTCCCAACCAGAAGGACGTCATCTCTGTCATGCTCAACGGAGAGAAAACGTTCATGCCAAAGCGCTTCATGACACGCTCAATACGAGAGGCCTTCCGTATATACAAAGACAAGCATCCCGATTCCGGCGTTGGGCTAACGAAATTTTATTCGTTGCGCCCTAGATGGGTCCAATGTATTCCACACCAGGAAGTGTGCGTTTGTGTGCGCTGCGCCAATTATTATCTTTGTATTGCCGCTCTAGAGAACGTTACAGGCTCAACATTCAACACTGGTGAAATGAACTCGGCATTTCTGTGCGACCCAGCAACAGAACTGTGCCTTCAAGGAGACTGTGATCACTGCCCAAAAGGCCAGTTTCTTACACTCCAGGAACTTGATATCCCGGAGGATGAAGAGATTGTGCTTGCAACATGGGAGTCCGGCGACCTTGTGAAAAAAACTTTGGAACCTGAGACTTTCCTAAAAGTCATCCAAGTGACGGTTGGAAGTTGGGTACTTCACAACCATATCCGGCAAACGCAAGGTAAAGCGATCTACGATGAAAAACAGTGCATGCAACGCGGGAGCATTGTCTTTCATTTTGACTTTGCTGAAAACTGGACCATCGTGCTTCCTGACGAAGTGCAAGCATATCACAGGAACAAAAAAAACAAGTTTCGATATTTACATGTGTAGGGACGACAAGAAAATCTACAAACAGCTTTGCCATCATCAGTGAGGACCTGTGTCACGACGCCGCTCACGCTTGCTTGGCTCTAGAAAAAGTGAAGGAGTGGGTTGAAGACAACGTTGCGGTATACTCGTACGTGACGTACGTAAGTGACGGCGCCGCCAGTCATTTCAAGAATCGCTACCAGCTTCACCAATTTGCAAAGGACGATTGCCCGCAAGCCCAGTGGTTATTTTCTGCATCTGGACATGGGAAAAATGCATGTGACGGAGTTGGCGGACTCGTGAAGCACCAGGCCACGCTGAACAACCTGAGAGAACGTTCAGTAAGCGCAATTCAGACGGCCAGGACAATGGTGAGCGTTCTATCAAAGAAACTGAAAGGCGTGCATGTATATCTGGACGAAAATGAGGTTGTTCGTTATCGTGAACAAAAAAGAGAAGAGTGGTTGACGGTGCGCGCCTTCCCTGGCATTCAGTCTTGGCACGCGTGGCGGCTCAGCAAGTCATCAACAGAAGGGACCTGTGACGTATATGTAGCACGGACAGTCGGATCTGCTTGGAAGCAACTTTATTAAATGGGTACAGCGAGGAAAACCTTAGCGTAAAGTGCCGAATTTGATTTCGCAAGGACTGCTCATTTTGAATGCAGGGACATCTTATTTATCACATTTTTCTTCACGGGGTATTTAACCTACTGTTTTTGTTGGTGGTTACTAATAACTTTTATCTGATCACTATATATTGGCTTGTCACGATTCATTCATACACCGAGAGCATCGCAGCTGCTCCAGTTAGGCACAATGGCATCCGTCACTTGAAATTGTTTGTAATCGTAAATACACAGTCAACCTAGATATCTTACTATTATATCTTTGTTTTTGTGTGTGGAAGTAAAGTTATTTATTTTACTCTAGATGTAAAATATACCGGAAGGTACAACTTCACACTGCATCATCTTTTCTCAAATCATTAGTCTCTAATATGATACCACTTTGTACGCTTATGTAAAATGCTGTATATAGTTTCTCCTCCCTTTTACTGTGTGACCGATCGCTCTTTTTATCAATGACCTCATCTGAATAAATGTATATAAAAGATTTGTGCAAGTTTCATGAAACTGGAACTCAGAGTCACTTCTTGTATAGGACACTGCTAAGTGTAGGCTTTGAAAAAGGACCCTACTTTGGGGAGTTGTTTCTTCTTTCACAGTGCAATGATGCAACATGTTTTTAATAGAAATGAATGCCAAAATAGAGTATAACAGGGTACCCAAATTTAAAAAAAATCGAAGGTGGTGTTTTTTTTATTCGCATTGGAATTTTTCTTTGTTTGATTTTTTTCCCATGTTTGCCTAAATATATTGTAACTATTGTGTCACTCAGATACCTTATTTATTTTTTCAATAATAGCCATATATTAGTAAAATAATGTCTGCAAGTTATGTAATAATGATTAAATTATTTCATGAGATACAGATTTCCAAAGTTTGCCATTTGTCGTTCGAGCAGGCATGTTTGGCAATTTTTAGAAAACTAAATAAATTTAATAAATATTATTACTTCATATTACCAGCAAGTTGTACCCATAGTTTGTTTGTAAAAAGTTTTAAAATTCTCCTCATTTTATTGTTTTAATTACTCACTTTCAAACTTGCCCCCTCCATCAGTGCGCGTTATTGCAACTGTCCACCTCTCCCTGCCTTACGATTTTTCTTGTCTCCAAATTTTTTTTCTGGTCAAAACTAAGTGTGGATTCGTTTATACCAGACACTAGACAATGTCATATAAAAACATCAGTTGATTTAAAAATGTCGACCAGCCACCCTTTGGTCGATCTTATCTGAAATCACCCAAGTATGTAAATACTGTCAGTGATCATACTGTACCTCTGACATCTCATTTGAATGATCACCATGACTCCTTCAAGTTGCTTCGGAAAAACGTTAGCACTGATTTGCCACCAGAGCAGCAGGATATCCTATACAAGCTATTATGCTCCTTCATTGACATTTTTGATTTTAACTCTCGGCCTCTGGCTCAAACATCTGCCGTTAAACACACTATCGATACTGGAACAGAAAAACCCATACGCAGCCGTCCGTATCGAGTTTCACGTTCAGAACGATAAGTCATCCAGAGACACGTGAGTGACATGTTACAGCAAAATATAATTGAAGAATCCGCAAGTCCCTGGTCTTCTCCCGTAGTGCTTGTGAAAAAGAAAGATGGCACATGGCGTTTTTGTGTTGACTACAGACGACTCAACAAAATTACCAAAAAAGATGTTTATCCCCTTCCCCGAATCGATGATGCCCTTGATACGCTACATGACGCCAACTATTTTTCGTCGATTGACATGCGCTCGGGCTACTGGCAAATTAGCGTTGACGAAAAAGATCGAGAGAAGACAGCGTTCGTAACACCCGATGGACTTTACCAGTTTGGAGTCATGCCTTTTGGCTTATGCAATGCTCCTGCAACTTTCGAACGTATGATGGACTCGCTACTACGCAGGTTGCGCTGGACAACATGTCTGTTTTACCTGGATGACGTCGTATTTTCGTCCACTTTTCCCGAACATCTATCTCGATTGACAACTGTTTTAGAATGCTTTCGAAACGCCGGCCTTCAACTCAACTCTAAAAAGTGCCTTTTTGGTACACGAGCAATCAAAATTCTTGGACATGTCGTCAGCCGTCACGGAATATCACCAGACCCAGAGAAACTCCGCGCTGTTACCGACTTTCCACGCCCCGCAACAGTTAAGGCAGTCCGTTCATTCCTTGGACTCTGTTCATATTTCCGACGATTTATTCGCGGATTTGCTGCCATTTCTGCTCCTTTAAACTCTCTCCTCAAAAAAGATCGACCGTTCGTATGGTCTCAAGATCAAGAGGATGCATTCGCAACACTGAAGACCCCATTGACCACCAAGCCAGTCTTGTCACATTTTCACCCTGCTCTTGATATCGAACTTCACGCCGATGCTAGCGGTTATAGACTTGGTGCGGTACTGATGCAAAAGCAAGACGCTCACGAACATGTCATCGCATATGCAAGCCGAACTTTGTCCAACGCAGAGATGAATTACACAATCACTGAAAAAGAATGCCTTGCCGTAATTTGGGCAGTCAGCAAGTTTAGAACTTATATATTTGGGCGTCCGTTTAAAGTGGTTACTGACCACCACGCTCTGTGTTGGTTAT